AACCCTGAACCCTAAACCCAAATCCATGTTCTCAGCAAAGGCCACGGCAGGCCCGGACCCATGCTCGCCTGTGATGGGAGGATGCTAACCATGGCTACCATGTTTAGCTGCTACATGTACATAGAAACCCTAAAACTCTAAACCCGTGTGTGTGTGTATATATATATATATACACACACAAATTCATGCATACATACAGGCATACATACGTACATACATACACACATACATACATACATACATACATACATACATATATATATATATATAGACACAGATACAGATATGTATATCTCTGTAAGATATGTATATCTCTGTGTGTGCACAACATTATCTACCGGAAGCTCGGCGAAGTATGCAGGATCACTTTAGGCTAGACCGTCATGGTTCGAGCCATATTTGTAAACACTGTCAGGGTTTCAGCACTCACTCTCGGACATGCCTAGGCGAGGTTCCTGGTACACGACGATTGCACTTTGGCACAAGGAATGGCACGTATCACCATCCCATGAAAGCATTAACTGTCAGGGTTTAGGGTTTAGGGTTTAGGGCTTAGGGTCTCGGCGCGGAACTCCCATGAAGGAGAGGCACGATAGCTCTCAGGAGCCACAAAAAAAAAACAATGAAGAGCTCGTATGCAGGCGGGCGGCCCTACCATCTTCTGCAGCCCAAGTGAGCGACTCCATGTTGCTCTCCTCCTCTACTAGAGAGCCATTTCCTGGATTGACGAAGGTGCTTTGTAGAACATAGTTACATATCAAATCAGACTTTGTGACCAAGAAGTAGCACGAGCGGAGCTACTGGCAAAAGGCTACCCTCTCGCTCTCGCACCCTCAAACGAAGGACTGGTTAACACCCGAAGCCTGGATATGAGCATGCAGAGGATGTTCTTGCACATTCCGCGGCTGGGATAGGTTTGACACTTGGCTGGGACACTGGCTACTCAACCTGCCATAGATTCAGGGCCGCGATTAAGTACAACACTGAAGCTTGACACTCGTATAAAGCCACTCCCACAAACACTTTTTCACTCCGCCATTACATGCTGGTACTTCGCAACATGCAACCGGCAAGTCGAAGGCTCGTCTGCTTCATCAGATGGTGCCGCCATAAAATCTCACAGACCCGCTGGCGCACATGAAGGTTTCTGGCAGAGGTTCTGAAGTTCGTGTCGGTTTCCACATGTTGCTCCATGTGCATTACATTAGGAAACATGTACACTAGCGCAGGCGCTTTCAGTCGCCTCTGGATACATTTTCTTCCAGAGCAACTTCGCCCTCGGTGAAAGCATGCAGAATGGAACGCCTCCGGCGCGTGAGCAAAAGTATGAGCTTTAAGAGCGAGAGCCGGTTGGGATCTGTGACCTTCCAAACCGAGGTATTTGACGAAACTGCTTCGCAGGAAACCCTGCTTATCTGCTGCCTGCTCAGATATCACCTCTAGATACCCCTAGTCCAGTCCAGGGGCAAGTGCATCTCCAGGGGAGGCGGCGGAGGCGGTGTTGGAGGAGCAGGAAGATCAGCGCAATCCGAGGTCGAAGCAATTCCGGCTGCTGGGCCATTGGTCAGAGCGGCCACCATGTCGGAGATGTCGGCCGTGCATAGCGCCTGTGCAAATTCGAATCCGTTCTTCTTCGATCGGGTCTTGCCATCGACATCCTGCCCCTAAAACACCTTTAGGCTGGGATCTGTCCCAAATAGTGGCCGAGTTGAAGACGGAATGCAAAGGTCAGATGGGGATCGCACTACCGGGATAGTACAGAAGAAGAACATATTCTGTTTGTTGGAGGGTCTCTGTTTGCAGGGCGCAGCTGCCCCCCTTTTACAGCGAAAAGATCTGCGGCGAGGAATACACAAAGATCCTCTACACTACACACTACCTGTAGCCGAGAACCCTACCTTTTCAGGGTTCCTAGTATATGGTGTCTTTATAAGTATGTATACATTAAAAATGTATACACACTCTTTACATATATATATATATATAAGTATGTGAATGAATATATACATATATATATATATATATTACACGTTTTATAATGTAGGTGAACGAGTATCAATGTATGTATATATACATATACGTATACACAGCCCCTCGAACAGGTAGGTTTGGGGGGATTCAGGTAATACTTGGGGATCTTCGGGTTTTGACACAAGTTTCAGGATTGAGTGAGGTTCCCAGAGACTCCAAGACCCCTTAATCAAGCAATATGGGGCATAGGGTTTGGAGTCTACAGGTATCTTAAACTACGACAGGATCCCTAATGTGATCTAAGGTATATTTCCAAAATCATATGCCCCGTACCCAGACCCTTGTATGTAGTGCCGGTTTTGAATGACCTGTTTCATGGTTAGGATCATATAACGAGAAACTGAGGGTAAGCAACACAGATTCAACACATATGAAGTGCAGAGGTAAACCGTAATAGGATCCCTGATATGATTTAAAGAACAGTTCTTAATGAAGGGTTTTGGAGTCTCTGGGTTGCTTGATTCAGGACGGAGGCTGCTGCTGTGGACAGGCAGGTCCATCCTACAAGCCCTAAGCTAACCAACACCACAAGAAGATCCAGATCCAAAACCAGAACTCTACGCGCGAAGTACCTCGGCCTAAGCTGAGTCTCATAATTGCCCGTTCAACTCAGCCGATCTCAGCCACCCGACCTCCCTGCCTGCTTCCGCTTCTCGCAAGTTTCGAGACACCCCCAGAAACTGCCCACTGATAGCACACGCTTGCTTAAGATCGAAATTAATTGGGAAGGGCGGGCTTATGCGATGGATGCATCGCGGAATAGGTAAAACAAGAGCATGCCGGGCGCCTTCTGGTCGGCAGCCACCTGGCAGTCCGAGACCGCCAGGGCCGTGAACTGCGAGATCCAGGCGAAGGACGAGATGATATTCATGATGTTGATTGCGCAGGCCTTTGGTTCTGGACAGGCGCTCGCTGCGCTGCGGATCTGAAGGATAGCCCGGACGATGTAGGAAGCCGCGTTCGTGACATCGGCGACACACTGGGCGATGTCGAAGCCACGGTTACGCTGTTGGTCCTTGTGACCCTTGATCTTCAAGGCCTTCTCAACCTCAGGCGAGGCTCCCGCTGGGACGAATT